CATCTCGATTAAAGCGTAGTTTGGCATGGTGCCATCAACTGCGTTGCGGTAAACTCGTTTATAGGCCCACTTTCTGAGCCGTTACCAGTTCACGTGTGAAAACCAACGGACAAAAAAGGGGTTCTCGTTCTGCGTTTTCTTTACGGATTTCTTTTGCTTTTTTTCTGCTACGAGCGTACCATTACGCTCCACCACGTCACACTAAACCCTTATTGACTTTATCGTAATTGCTGCCTTTAAGGATTTTCAAATGTAATATGCATTCTTTAACGCAGTATTATGTATTTTACACACCTATCCAAATTATAATATGTGGATTTCAGACGGCAGCCGCTATTCATCGACCATTAGCTGTCGACATTTTCCACAGTCCTCAGTTAACATTTGCTCCAGTGAAAAATGCTACTGGTTATGCTGAACGCTATCGTATGAAGGTATGTATTAGTACAGATTTAGTGTTTGTTTTTGTAACGTCTGAATGTTGTCGTCGTTGTCATCGTCGGCGCCGATGTTTATACAGGCGAAATGATCGTCAACGATGGCGGCGTACAGCCGTGTACTCGTCAGAACCGTTCAGTAGTGAAAATGTCAACGGCATTCGCTACTTGACATTTCTACATCCGCAATACGAACATATGTGCCCACAGAAATGTGTACGGATTTTTGAAAAAGAACCAAATATTCGCTGTAATGTTAGGTGATACGAATCATTCACCGTTTTCACTTCTATGAACGTTTTTCAGCCGAAATGTCAAAGTTAAGGTAGTAGTAATGTTCACAGCCTTCACCCTTCAGGTGGGGCCCTCCCCTGCGTCCTTGATATCGACAAAGCTTCATATCCTCCTAGGGTCTATTTGTGACTAGAAGACACTGCTATTGTCCACTTAAATTAGTTCACGGTTCAAGTAGAGTGACATTGTGTAAGTTTGAGTGGCAAGGATGAAGCCTTTTGGCTTTCTTGGATGCGCCATGCACTCTTCTCCCATTTACGAGCGTTGGAGGTGACCTTTACGAGGCGATTTGCATGACACAGTGGCCAGCGGGAATGTACAAGTCAGTACTGTTGTCACTCAGATCAGACTTGTGAGGTCACTGCTTACGGCTGTAAATGGGAAGAGAAAGCGTGGCGCATCCAAAAGAAATCGTAAGGCTTCATCCTCGGCATTCAAACTTACATGAAGTCAGTATGTTTGGACCTCAAAGGCAGTACTTACGGCGAAAAGGCAGCCCACAGAATCCAAGGTAGAGGTGGTCAGTGGTGCTGGTATGAAGAAGAACCATAGATTCCGAGAAATGGGACCACTTTTTGCCCGTTGTTTTGCGTCATATTAGACGTCATCGGTGCTGACTTCATGTACACATACGCTCTCTTGGCTCGGGCGGCTAGACTCAGATAACGAGAAAGTGGGCGGGCAGCGGCGCGGGTTCGGCCCTGCTAGGCCACTGGGGGCATACCCTTCGCTGCAGAACTTGCATCCCTTGGGGAGGGGCCGCCCGCCTTCTTACTGGGTATGTTTCCCCTTCATCAACCCCCAACCTTTCGTGGTTGAAACCTAGTCGGTGAATCGTATTCGGATGCAATTTGATCAAAAACTGACTGGATTTGATTGATAATCCAAGGAGATTCAACACATCGATGCTTTTGACTGTCACAAATGTACAATCACCGCTCAGTGTACTGTTGATAACGGAAGAGTTAAGTGGAATCAGGTGTAACTGTGCAATGCCACCATTATACATCGAAAGGCTTCACAGATGATGTTTAGAGAAGGGGGTGGAGAGGGGGGAGAGGGTGTTGATTCCAAAATTTGTCCTACACAAGGGTCGATCTTGTTTGGGATGTATAGACATTAGCCAGCTTGCACTAAGTAAAAGTACCTTCCGGAAGAGATAGCAATGAAGAAGCAACAATCGTGTAAGGCGATGTCAGACTTTGCGAATCGCGCGATTCGCTAGCGTCCGCGGTCGCGTTGCGGTACCAGCCAATGAGTGATTCACTGGCCGCGACGCGACCGCAGACGCTAGCGAATCGCTCGATTCGCAAAGTCTGACATCGGCCTAAAGGCACATCCTCGAACATAGCAAAACCATCCATCGGGATCCGCTGCATATTGCTATGTGCCCTGCCGTCTCCTTCATATGCCGGCTCCCCCAGACTAGATATGTTCGAAATTTTGTGACACACAGGAAAGACGTGGCAGGCTAAATTCTCTTACGTTAAATACATCTTGAAAGAGCTCCTCCTCGTTGAGCATATGCCTCCAGGAGAGTCTCAGTCACTCAAAGTGTGAGACGATAGCATTCTCTCGAAAACAGCGCCTCACAAAAATGTATTGGCAGGTGGTTCATAGTTCAGGGAATATTTAGCGCCGAGGCCTTTGTCATGAAGTCACAAGAAAATCTAAAACTATTTTGTGAGCAAGTACACTCTAGCGTGAGTAACAGATGTGTCTTTTCAGTTTTCTGCACTGCGACACTCTCTACCACCATTCGTCCATCTAATGACACTTGAACGGTGGCATCGCCGGAGTCTCCTACTTCGCCTGGAGCACGTCTTCCAGAACCAAGAAGACGCAGATAACAGCAAACCGATGCGTGTTGACCTCGAGGTAAATGACCAGTCACATTTGCGCCAGTCTTCTATACGGCAGGGCAGGGTCCTCGGCAGGAGGCCCGTCGTGCAGCGAGAAGCCAGTGACGCAAACGGGTCAGCGGTTGAGCCGTAGCGCGCATTGTGCGATGTGAGACGTACTATAACGCATTTCGTTCATATTGACGCTTAATCGCTACAGTTTGCGCTGCAACTCGTCCGCTGACGTCTGCGTCTCTGCCTACTTGGCGCGCGACGGGACTGCCGTTGTTCACCCTCCAGCTTATTAAACATGTAGATGATATAGTTAAGAAGCACCTCAAGCCTACAGAAGATCTTAAATTTATGTCTAAACCTCCTTCCTATTATTTAATGTGAAAACAACTATTTTGTAGGACCTCTTCACGCAGTTCAAAGTCGTCAACATGACTGAACTTGCATTGGCCGGCAACAGAAACTCCACCAAAGTCCCATCTGAAAGATCCAATCGATATCTCGGTAAATTTTCCTCTTTATTACTTTTTCAAATATTATATTTTCTAAGCCTTCGGTCAAAGCTACTGAATTTAGGCGATTTCACGATAGTGCTTAAACCATCGGAGATTCGTACGTTCAACATTGATGTGCAATGGCTTTGATGCCTATTGATCTGTCAAATTGTGTTGCAGTCAACTTCAGATCAATACTAACAACATGTGTACTGTATCGATTCATGTATGTATCATGAAATAAATTCCGTCATGAAAACTAGGCTGTATATTTTTATTAGCATAACAGCACGTCATTATAACCTAAAATCAATTTGAGTATCTAGAGTTCATAAATCAATAAATCAATCGATATAAGAGGGGAAACGTGAAGCAACATCGATACACAGTAAATCGATGATAATGGCAATCAACGGCGAGGAGAATTTTGAATGAAAGTGAATCATTACACCCGGAAAATTATTATAACAGCATTAATCTTCTTCTCTTAATGACGACGTGGGGTCAGAGAAGACGTGTTACAACAGTAATAACGTATACAAGTAATTATACTAGAAGACACAAAGACATAATAGAAACACACATAGAAATCAACCGGTTCAGTAGTAAGTTGGTAAATGACGCGAAAAAAAAGGAAATGTCATGTCATGACGGTAGAAGTAAGGCCTATTCAAGGAGCTCTGTATACGTTAACAAAATGCTTGTGTAAAGAGAGATGTGAAGTTATGGCATGTGACTTAGGTTGGATACTAACTAGTTCAATAACGAAACAACGAACTGAAGAAGTTCCAGCTGAAGCTACAATTACCAGAAATCAACGAAAGAGCAACAAAGTGACCAGAATGGTCAGCGGGGTAATCCAGGACAAATGAGATGGCGTCAGTTGAGTGGCTTGCTCCACAAGCACCACCGTTGGTGTTGATGAAGGCGTCGGTAGAGTAGTGACTGCTGAAAGTAGAAAAATCGTTTTTTCTCGAATACTAGATTAGGTTCCGTGTGTTAAAGTACACAAGAAGTTCTGAAATCGCACGTGGAAAGATGATTGCAAGCGGTTAACGGAAACCGGAATAATTTACGCTTATCCCTAGAATGAGCCCACATCTCCAATCAAGACCCGATTATAACAAATGAGGCGCTATCACAATATACGTGTTCTTCCTCTAGGACTAGCCAAGGAGGGGCAGAAACTCCTGTGGAAATGGAAATGGCTCACGCACCTTCAAGTCTTCTCCCGTGTACCTGACAGGAGGCCCGTCGACGCGGCAAGAAGGCAGAGTCAGTGGGACGAGTCGCAGCGCATACTGTAGTGACTTCGCGCCAAGTTAAATAGAACGTTAGTTAAATAGAATAGTTAAATAGAACGTTAAAAGTTAAAGTTAACGCACTGTACGTCCACACCACACATACGTGCCGCGACTCGTCCACTGACTCTGCCTTGTTGCCGCGCAACGGGCCTCTTGTCGGGTATCGTTCTCCCCCGCCTATGGAGGCGGTTCGAATGCATTGTCACCAGAATGCCCCGTATCTTGTGATAGCGCCACAGATTACTCCAAATCAGGGTCAAACGAGGCGATGAGCGAAATACTGAAAAGCGCCTTCCCCTCCCCCCTCCCGCCCAGTGAAGGTGACCATGCGAATCTTCTCTGCGTACAGACGGCCTATGAAGTGATGTGGTTCTTACGACGAATGTGCTGACCTAACAGCCCCTTTCAGAAACCTTCATGCCTCTCAAACTCACTTTCTATTGCAAGCAACGGAATTGCAGCGCATGGCTCTGGTAGAACACGAGCAGGGACGTGCCGTGCACTCGACATCCGGCGCGAGTCACGGTTCCGAATACCGAACAAGCTACAGCTGCTCTGAACGTTGCTGATCCCGGCTCTTAAGACCCAGCTCCCTACCCTCAGACCGGTACGACCCCCTCGCCAAGAATTCCTCAACGCATGCTTGACCCTGCTCCCAACGCTGGTGTTCGATTAAAATGCAATTCACACTAAGAGCATTTTCACGATCAATACTTGATCCCGTGATGATTTTTTAAGTGTAATTTAGAACATGGAAAATTAGCCTTTCCGAGCGAGTGGAAAAGCTCAACCATTCACTTTCCAAGAATCTCAGCTATTCCGCGAAAATCGCAACAAATGTGGAAAATGGGATATGGAAGATACCAAGAAGGCCCTGAGAGGGTTCTTGTTTTTACATCTTTTTTCACTATATATTTGACTAAATTGGGAACCTGTCGGTTTCAGTCAAAATTGAAAGATAGAAGAACCTCTAGAAAATGACGCCAAAGTTCGAAGGATTGAAAACCGAACATTCTTTATGGAGCCCCCACAAGACAATAGCATCCCATTTTGTAGAAGTAGAAAAATAACAGTCAAAAACCTTTCAAAGACCAGAATCGAGAATCGCTACGGGCAGTTTTTGCTGTGTTCCCCAAAGAAGTAGCGGGCTATTCTGTCACTGGGGATCAGAAACTTCGAGGAGCTATGAACTGGCTTTTCTGCTCTCGACCAGGGCCAGAACTTCGTTCGAGCTATCCAAACGGTAGGCGTATTTGCAGTGTTGGAAGATGGAGGTTTATTCTTCACGGGGGGGGCATGTTTGCGATTTTGGAAGAGGGAGCTGGTGTTCGTAATTGAAAAAGGTCGACTCTTGGATAAGAGCGTATGGGAGTCGCATTTATGGAAGTTGAAGGGGTCGTCGTTGCGGGGGGAGGGCTTCGTTTTTGATGAGTTTTCTAACGAATTTACTAGAAGTTTACGAAAAACAAGTTGGCCAAATTAAAGGATTTGCCGCTTGTGTGAACTGGTCTCCGAATCGAATATTTGTAGAGAAATCTAAAAACAGCCAAGATGGTGTGACAATGGTGAAGGGGTTGTGGTAAGGGCCGTATTTGTGGGTGCTAGGTTGCATAGAGACAGACCCTTGAAAGAGGTGAGTGGCCCTAAATATTTATTGAAAAAGATCGATTTCGAGAGTTGACCCTACTCCCGACATCCTTCCTTCGTTTGTAGAGGACCACCGAAACCGGGAAGCTAAACAAGGATATTTCTGAAGACGGAATGCGGGGT